TTTACACTCGTTTCTTACCTTAACTTTCTTGTATTAATTGCGCCCAAGCATTTCTGCTTTTGCGCTCTTCTTGTCGTTCTCTTCCTTGGGGGCTCACACGAGGCGTAATTAGGCGGTGGCATCTCGGTTTTGGCTATCGTTAGAAAAATTGGCGATACTGATTCAGAACTCACTATGCCCATTTCCACAGAACAGTTGCTGGCTATCCTGCAGCAGCAGCAAACTCGGAGGCGGCTCACATGAAGTCGATGAAGTCAATGATGCGAAAACTCAGTTTGCATTTTTCTAATCCAGCTGCTTCTGTGAAAGATTCCACATCAGCAGCCGCAGCTGCTGTCTCTATCACAGAGTTCACTTATGATCCCGACTCCGACGTTGCTTTCGATGCTTGGTTTAAACGTTGAGAGGACATCTTCCTTGTGAAGTTTGCCAAGGCTGATGACATTTGGAATCTGCCCCTACTACTACGCAACCCGGGCACCAAAGAACACGATCCGTACACGGACATGATTCTGCCGAAAAACCATCATGACTTCACTTTCGACGAAACCGTCAACCGCTTGTCAGAGATCTCCAGCGAGAAGTCTTCCCTGTTCAGCATTCGCTGCTAGTGCCTCAAGTTGGTCAACGACGAGATAGATAATGTTCTGTTATTAGTGGAATGTCTCAGGGCTCCGTTCTTGGGCCATTATTGTTCCTAATCTACGTCAATGACTAGGCACGGACTGGTCAGCAATGTAGTCCTGTTTGCAGATGATATTAAGATATGGCAACCCCTCATAAACACTTATGATGAAAAAACGCTGCAAGAAGGACTTGACCGCCTATGTGAATGGTCCAAAAATGGTTAATGCGGTTTAACTTTGAGAAGTGTGTCACTTTGCGGCTCAAATCGACGAAGGCGAGTGTGACGGGTGACTCTCAAACTACGTTCTCAATGGAAGGTGCCTGTCGAATGTTACTGAAAAAAAAGACCTGTGAATCACTATTGTGCCATCCCCGAAGCCGTCTTTGCAGTGTGTTGGGGCTTCCAAGAGGGCGAACAGTGTCCTGTTTGCCATTAAACAAACTTTTTTCGACATCGATAAATAAATATTTGGCAAGATAAACGGGAAATTTATTCGTTCACATCCGGAATATGGAGTTCAGGTGTGACGACCATGGCTGCAAAAAGAATACCAGCTGCTGGAAAGAGTTTAAACGAAGGCAACAAAAACTGTGAAGGGCCTAAAGTCCTCACCTTAAGTATGTACATTAGAGGCACTTCACGTTTTTGCCTCCTGATTGGAGGCAAATCCGAGGCAACCTTATACTAACGTACCAGCTCGTGAGGAATCGAGGGTATGCCCTGTAGTTTGATAACTTCTTTGCATTCGCCACACCAAAAAAACTCAGTGGGAATTCTCTCAAACTGCGGGGAACCTTATCCCATCTAGATGTCCGCAGGCATTTGTTTTCACAGCGATTAATCGCTGCCTGGAACGGACTGCCGGAGGAGGTCGTAATGGTAAAAACGACAGATACATTCATATGCATGCTGGATGCATATTTACTTAGTAGATACCGTTCATACGCACAGGAAAGCGTTGTTAGTATATACGAACGCTTTTGTCACACATACAGATAGCAAAATTGTACATGTGCATATGTTACCCACTATTTTATAGTAACATATTTTATGTAAACTGTTTTCAATTAGGTCTTCAAAGGCATTGCCTACTGCCCTAAATATACTGAACTCGCCAGTAATATCAACCGCGAGCGTGTATTGCTCAAGCTCCGAGAGATGACAAAAGATCAATTAAAGTGCCTCATCTTTTTGAAAGTCCTGCTGTCACCTTGTGATTCTGAAACCAGAGCTCGTCTGCTCTCCAAAATTGAACAGGACTTAGACTGCACTCTGCAGACGTTGACGGCCGAGTGTCAGCGACTCAAGAATCCTATGCACGATTCCGTGATCGTGGAGCAACCCAGTTCCTCGTTTGTCGTGACCAACTTCCATGCTGTCACTCGCACGAGGTCGATGTCACCGCAGACGCCCCAAAACTCCACATTCAGAAAACCTCCATCAGCATGTTGGCAGTGCGGTAATTATCATTTCTTTCGCGTCTGTCCATTCACGAAGCACTTATGTCAGAAATTCCACAAGCCAGGGTATAAGGAAGATTACTGCTCCACGGGCCAACCACCAAAATCAAGTACAGGCGACAGGAAGAAGACACGTTCCAAACGCCCTTCATCGGTTTCCGGTCTCAAGTCTCACAGAATCCTAGTCAGATTCCAAACTCAATTCGAGGCGCGGAGGAAGCCTCTTACTACCAATGGCAAACTTGTACGCCTCCAGTTTGACACAGCGTCAGACATCAGCCTCACAGCAGCGCACTTAGCAGATAATTGTACGGCCTCCAATAATTACATCGGACAAAAAGGCTATGCATTTTTCTGGCGGATTCCTCTGGCTGATGGGTGAGTTTGAAAGTGACATTTTCTTTAAGGGTCTCGATTCAAGGGAACATGCAACCTTACCAACCGTCCGAGGCGTGACTTAATTGGCCTTGACTTGACCGAGAAACTCGGTCTCCTTGATTTGCCACTGAACCACATTTGCAATTGTGTGCCGTCAACTTGGTCGAGTCCCGCAAAATCGAATCATCGTGCGCTTAATTTGATATTTGTGGTTTTTAGGAGAAAAAATGTTGCTTTTGGGAGAAAAGTACGTGAATGATAAGACCGGCATCCTAGCGTGAATGTTGGCGGCAAGCCAGCGGGGCTAATCGCCATCAGTTTGTGTATTCAAAATTCCACACGAAGAGGAGACCGCTGAGTCACGTGGACATCCCTAAGAACCGGAAATGCGACCATTATACGTCCATGCTTGTTGCCGCGTCTGCCGATAAAGTGACAAAGAGAGAAGAACCCGCCACGATCGTCAGCAGTCGAAGGGGAGTCGCATTACATTGATGAAGCTGGGGAGGGGTAAATTTCCGCAGCAGAGAGGACCGGTTGTATGATAATATCTTCATCGAAGGCAAGAAGTACTCGAGGTCGCTTTCCATCATTGTTTGT